CCTGTTTCTGGACTAAACGCATCTACACATCTACTGCTACATCTGTTCTCTTTCTTTTTCTTTTTCCCCATTTACAACCATTTTTTGTGCAATATATGCCAGGGACCTGTGCAATACATTTATATTTATATCTATATTTACATCTATATTTACTGTACAGTGTACTGTTCTGTTCTAGTTTGTTCTTTGTGTGTTCGGACTGTGAGTAACTCTTGTATTGTATTGTATGTATTGTACTATTATTATATAATTCATTACACTGTGGCTGTGTTGTGTGTGTTAAGCTGCTGTTGCACTGCAATTTCCCTCACGGGATCAATAAAGTATCTATCTATCTAATCTTTGGATATTTTGGGACTTTTGACAGCACTAACAGGTTTTCTCATAGTTTGTGTTATGCAATAAATGTTTAGATATCAGGGAGACCAGAATTTTGACAGCACATCTCTTACCTCCCATAGGTATAACTTGGGATTCTGCTAGAATAAGCAGGCAATTCACTTGTAAAATGTATTCTGTATTCTTTACTTATAAATATTAATATACACACAGTTCAAGTAGGATGAAAACTGAATTTAACTACAAAGATGAGGCTAGCAGAATACTCAAACAGAGCCAACTCAAGGATATCATGCAAGCTCACAACTGAAAAGAGTGAAGAGTTCAGAAAGCCAGCACATTACCTTGAGGGAGATGGTCTTCTGCAGCATGTCAAAGAGGAACTGGACCTGCAGGAGGGATGCTGTGTCTGCTGGGTGGGAGGGCAGAGCTAGGAAGCCATGTTGATGGGTCCGGGAGAGCAGGTATTGTTCAAACAGGCGAGTGAGGTGCTGGAGGCTGCTGGCCATCAGAGATAGAGTACTGGTGCCATCCAGGACAGAATCCCCTTCATATGAAACATACAGAAGTCACACAGCACCAAAACTACTAGCTCAGTCTTCACCCTTTTAGCTTGAGAACTTTCAAAAAAAGCCTATTACAAATGAGGAGTACTTTACTCTATATTTAATAAAGCACAGTACTTTATTAGCACTATTTCAACAGACTAAAATAGCGATTCCATGACAAATATGAAGTGAAGTTAAAAGTACCATTGTTTCGCAACAGGCTGGCCAGACTATGTACTAATGTTGATCCACCAGACTCGGGAGCCGCCATGCTGTGGAAGAGACACCAAAATGGTACACGATAAAGTTAATGCTGTCAACGTTACAATACTTTTTAAGCAATACAAACTGTAAGAACAGTCACAAGGTTTCGCGTTCATATGGTCTATTTCTTTCTGTCAATGTTAATTAGTTTAGAAAAAGTAAACCTGCTTACGTAGCCCTGAAATAAAAGTACTGGGAATAAGAGAGAAGATGCAGGCAACTGATTAGAATGAGACTTCCACTGCTTACAGCCTACAGCATGCGGTTTGAGCAGTGAGGCAAATTTGCATTTCATAACAAATATGGCTAGCCCCAGCTAGCTCTGTTGGTGGGGCATGAGACTCATAATCTCAGGGTAGTGGGTTTGTGTCCCATGCTGGGTGCCAGATCCTCCATGTTGGAGGTTGGGCACAAGGCTTACAACCCTTTCCTTTAAAAAACTAATGTTACGGTTATGCATAATGGGCAAACATCCATCCATCCAACAAATATAGCAGATAAAAAAAAAGAAGTTAATTCAAGAGAAGCTCCTTTGACCCCTTTAGTTAACTTAAAATTAAAACTGTCCAACCATTCAGTTTCACTTTAAAGTAAATGCAATAAGGCAAATTGATTTGACCTGGTGCACACAAAGAACCATTTTGTACCAGGGGCTATTTCAGGATACCTGCAGTATAATACTTTCTTCTTCTTGAAGAAGGCTCCAGAGTGGAAAAGTTGTGCCCTTTTTCTTTTCAGCGTGGAATAAACCTTTACTTGTTACTTTGCAGCCTACGCATGCTGACACAGTTACCTACTTGAACTTCTGCAGCATAATAACCAATTCAGAAATTCAAGTTCCAAACATATCTATGCAACCTTTAAACAGATAGAAAGACTCCAAAAAACCTTCAACTGGATTTTTTTTATTTATTATTTATTTCATATTTTCTTATATAGTGCCTTGCAAAAGTATTTAGATCCTTGACCAATTCTCTCATTTTACTGAATTACAAATCTTACATTGAAATGTAGTTCTCTGTGATATTTTTACCCCTAAGCACTGAAACTCAAAATTATTTTAAGGTGACATTGTTTTTTATGTTAGAAAATATTCTTAAGAAAAATAAAAAACTGAAATATGATGAGCTATCCTGAAATCCAAGAACAGACAAACATTGGACTGCATTACCTACAGCTAGTCAATCCTCTAAAATTAAATAATCTTGTTTCCCCTGAAAATGCTGATTTAATTAACTGCTCTGCATCAAAGGCAACATTAGTGAAACTGGATGCCTTTTATCAAAGATGAACACATTTTACTTCATAATCTCATTTAAGAGGATTCTATTGTTCTATTAATGGCAACAGTGGGCAACAAAATAATCTCACAGGACCATTTTTCTAAAACAAGCTCTTTCAGTACAGACTCTGCTTCCCAGTGCACATCATTGTACTGTAATGCTTAAGTATACTTACCCTGTGGTGAGACTTCAATCTGTTACTACTTTATAGAAGATAAATAAATCAGGCTGGATTTAAAAGCAATTAATTGCTAGAACATCTGTCTGACATATAGACTCGCTTATAGAAAACTGCAAGGATACAATTGAGAAATCTTTCTTAATCAAAAATGCCATTTTTCAGGTTGACTTTATAACAAGACACAAATAAAGAAAAACTCTATTTACAGATAGTAAGGACATTAAAAATGGCATTTTTATTAAGGGCTTTGTCTTTCCTCAAACTGTCACAACAACAACAAATTGGCAATACAGTGAAACAAGCAGGTGTGCCTACTACCAGTTCAAATGTCAGTTGAGTAGTTAAAAACAAAATCAATATTTCTTGTAATTTCTCAATAGTAGTGTAATGTTTTTATTTTGCTTCCATGTATGCCGTGGGAACACTACATTTTGCATTTTATTACGAACAACACAGGACCATCAAGATTGATATGTACAATCAGCCTGCATTTCTTCCAGCTCTGACATTACTTGCACGTAGTGGACAAAAAATGGAAATATCTGTATAAAGTCATTTAAAAGGGTGCTGGACATCCTTGTCTGTCTCATGGCATAGAGTCTACCAATGTTTGGAATTCTGCAGGAATGGAATTTTTCCATTAGGCATAATTTCAGATTATCCCATAAGATATGGCATTAACATATAGATAATGGTGTCATGTTCATTAGACCACTGAGTGACCACACCTGTGATGTCTTTATTTTCAAAGACAGTTTCAAGAAGAAAAGAAATGCTGAAACATGGAGTGAAGATTATCACTCAGTACCATTAGGTAGTGAATAGCACTGACTTTATGTTTTGAGGTACACAGGGCACTCAAACCATGAAAACGCAGCCCACAACATTATGGAAACACCAGAAACCTCCACTATTGGAATCAGGCACTGAGGACTGTAGAGTTTTTTAGGTTAATGCCAGGCATATATTCATATTGGTCGATTTGTGAAGAATATAGTGAAAAATCATCTGTCACATTCATCTGCACTGGCTGCTAGTCACCTGTGCTCTTTACACCACTAGACACTTTTATTACCAGGTGTTTTAAAGTGGTCTGCACACAGCAACCTGACATTTATATTCTGCACTGTGGAGTTTGAAGCAGATTGGTTTTAACTAACTGCCTGCACAGCAATTTGCAGTCACATGACCTGCTGCTGTTTGCCTGTTTTACCATGCATTTTGATTGATAATCTCTCCCCCTTGGAGTTTCATGCTGACATACAGTACACCACAGACAACATTGCTCATGAAAGAGGTTGAGCTGTCTTGGACATTGAAGTTCCTGCCAAAAGTGTTTCAACACCTTTTTCAAGTCACTTAGACTCTCTTGCCATCATTCTAGCTTTAATTGCACCAGGGCTTTTCTACATGGCCCTACGCATGCTGAGAGGATGCTGGCTTAATTGGAGTACATCATGTATGGAGTACATCAGCCATACATGGACAGAAGCCCTTGCTTTCAATATACAGTACTTGTCCCTTGTTTACCCAGGTGTTTCCTTTTTACCCACTACCTGTAATTCAAAGTCTTCATTGTTCTGGTTTCAGTTGTACTCCTACTGGTGTCATTC